TGTACAAATGCGCTTTACACAATTGATGTATGCATGGATTGTGATAAGAGTTGTGTGAGCCCCTAATAAAATGATTAGGAAAAAAAAAAGAAAGAAAGACACAATATCAGAGGTCAGATGATAGAAAAGAAAAACAAAATAAAATAAAATCAAGAAAGGCAATGTCTCAGGGCTGTGTCCTTTAATCATACTTACTCCTTTGTACGCTGAGCAAATAATCTAGGGGAAAATAACAACACTGAACTATATGAAGATAAATGCATTGTTGGAATTAGGGGAAGGCTCATTAACAACTTGAGGTATGCAGATTGCACAATCTTGCTGAGAGAAAAGCAAGAGTACACTTCCCGATGAAGAGCAGTAGACTTCGTTCTCGATTGCAACTCCAAGTAAAGACACCACCATTCCTTACAACCAACAAACAAGATCACCATCAACAGATGACAGACTGTAGCTGTCAAGAAATTCACTTTACTTGGATCCACAATCAACATCCATGGAAGCAGCAGTCGAGACAACAAAGGATATATCCCATTGAGTAAATCTATTGCACAAAACATCTTTCTTTAGACTGGACTATATTAGTGTACAAAGATCTGAAATGGTAAATACAGAAATCAGAAAAGCTGTAATTTTAGAGAAAGGAAACTAAATGTTCACATGTAAGACATCAGTGCTTATGAGCCTATGGGGATTACTTGACTGCAGGAATACATTATTGTGAGTCCAGCTTTCCCCGGTCATAGATTTATCTTCTGCAAGATTGCTTTTGAGTTACTCTTCTTTGTAATTACTTTTGTCATTTGTAGACAAAGTGAAAGGCCTTAATCCCATTTTTACGGAAAATGTCCTATTTTGAACTCCATTTGGCGCTAGCAACATGGCAAGACCACTAGCTGTCACGATTAGAATTCCGTGGCATCTGGGAGAGGCAGCATCCAATGGGATGACCTTGCAATCCCGGCCCTTCGAGGCTCTCACTTCGGCCGGGTTGTAGCCACCACTCGTCTAGTGCTCTGCATTTGGTGGAAAATATTTCAGTTTTCTTTCTTTGACATATTTCTGCCTCACACAGCTTCCACGTTTCACTAGGTTTTTTTGTACATATTATTATATATCTGTTCATATTTATGTAACAAACATCGGGTAATTTATACAATGTTATCACCTATTGATTTATAGTTCAGCATTTTTAAAGCAATGCGTGTAGAAATCAGCTACTGTGCTGGATTTCTGCCATTGGGTAGTCCCTCCTACATTTTCTCTGTGCCAATCATGTGACTTGTTAAGGCTAATGAATATGAACAAGCACGATACCAAGCGATAATCGATACAGGGTGGTGCATTGGGCCTACCACTTCGCTGTCAGTGTGTCGGACCGCGGGGGCTTGTGTGTTGCTGTGATGCTGGAAGCCATGTGGCTGGTTCGTGGGGATTTTTTTCATGGATTTCCCCTTCTTAGACGCAAGTGGTCATGTTACAGGGAAGCATGTAACACACTCTTTGAGAAAGAACCCACATGAGGGGCTTTCAAAAATTTGTGAAAAATAAAATTTAAAATATGATGAAAATTCCCATGACCTTTTTGAAATGTCTCATATGGAAAGGATCCTGACGGTAGAGGTCCTTCCAGCATCGCAGCCGTAGGTGGTGCTCCCACAGCAGGCGGCCCTGGGTGCACCTTTACAAAAGGTCCTTAAATGCTGGCCTGCCGGTCAAATCCAATTCAGAGAGTATTTTTATGCTCATGTAATGTGTGACAGATGAATGATTCTTACATTTGTACTGGCTATAAAGTAATAAAAATATGCCATGTATAGGTTATACCATCGAGATTAGAAAATCACATGAACCCAGCTAATCTATGGAGTTAATTATGAGAAATAACCAATTTTTGGTCTAAAACTATTAACTGTGAGAATGGTTTGTGACACAGAAACAGATGGTATAATATATATTTGCATTAGATGCTGTGTGGTAATGTCAATAATTCTAACAAATACACTTTTATATAAACAATATGCATCTATATGTATAGATAGATAGATAGATAGATAGATAGATAGATAGATGATAGATAGATAGATAGATAGATAGATAGATAGATAGATAGATAGATAGAAAGATAGATGCAAAGCAGACGAACCAAGGAAAGAACTATTGAGTTTTCGAGCAGAATTTAGAAAATACAGATCTGACCTGGACTTCTTGAGTTAAAAGGTAAAGAAAACAATTTCTAAATATTATCCACTGCTGAAGAGAGTTGGCTAAAGGTTCCCAGAGTGAGACATTGTCTCTAAGTAAAGGTCAAATTCAGATTCCTGCCTCCAGGCAAAGATCAATCAAGGTACAGCTTTGAGACCTCAGAAAAATTTCACATTGTATGGAATATACCTTTGCAGCTAGCCAAAGGTCTTAAAGCAGTGTTAAAGCCATTATTCCATGGCATGCTAATTTTCAACCAAGCCAGAGAAAGTCTCAAAGAAGTCTGATGTGTGTGTGTAATAGAATTATATTCTGATACATAGAAACCCCACAACATTTTCTTGAGATTCGTAACAGTTTAAAGTAAACATCTTGACAGATAGCTGTGATATCTTCCTCCATTTATACTGCCTTTTAGCCTATAGCTAAAGAAGAAGAAGAATCTATCACCTCACTCTGCAGAATGTATCATGTACTAAACATTATGCTAGGGATAGTTTACGGAACAATCTGATTTTTCCTCAAAACAAAACCTGTGAACTTATCCAACTCTGGATAGTCATTCCAAGCATGTAATCAGAAAGGAAGGTAACTTATTTACATAATGATACACAGAGTAGTAATATTTATAAAAATAAAGTCATATAAATGCCTCAAATTTTAATGACAGAAGGCAGCTAAATTAAGACTCATTCATATAATGGATATATTGTATCTGTTGCTAAGTTGGTACAGTTATTACGTTTACTTTGAAGATTAGACAACCATAGACCCAGGAGTCACTCAAGTATCGGAACTTCAGAAGCCTCGTTCTCACCACTGCACTATCTGCCGTGGCTGTGGCTGGGAACTATGGTGTTGGTTCTAACTCGTAGCGACCCAGTGGTGGTAGTTATAAAATTGTCAATTTCAGGATTAAGCATGTAGAGGTAGAGTCTAGCCTGTCAATCAGGTCATTACCAATGAAGCTTCTGTGTGGGTATAGCCTTACCATAAGGATTCTGGGAATTCCAGTATTTCCTGCTTGGAGGTGGGAGACTCTCAACTCACATCCTGGGAGACATAGCAGCTGACAAGACACATGGACCCACCCTGATGCAGCCCTGGGTGCTGGAGACGCCATGCAGAGCCCCCTGACAGCACTGAGATATTTCCAATAACACTGGATCCAAAGACTTTCTACCCACTGGCCTGTGATCTTCTACATTCGGCGTCATTGCATGTGCTTCGTGAGTCTGAAGAGGACTATATCGATTGGTATTGGACATATGAGCTAATGTCAGACTTATGGACTTGATCGGGCCTGGGCTGGCATGTTTTCTCAATGTTCAATTGCTCTTGTATATACATCTCTTTCTTATACACGTGTGTGTGTGTCTGTCTGTCTGTCTGTCGCTGGATTTGTTCCTCTAGTCTACCCAGACTAGCGCCCCAGTGGACCACATGAGCAGACACTGCCCACTTTTGTGCCGTTCTCACCATCGTTCCTACATTTTGAAACCTAGTCAGTAAGAAATGATAGATCATTTGTTTAAAATGAACAATACTTTCATGTCTTCTGCATTAAAAAACTGTCCCACCAGAGACAATGTCTTTCTTTTGATAAGATTGCTGGGGCCTCATGCTAACAGAGGTGGCATGCCCTTGCTTGGGCTCTCAGCTTTAAGTAGATGGAAGTTGCCTTGGTTCCAGCTGCCACCTGATCCAATGATCTTTAGCTGGGATCCAGGCGACAGAGAGAATGAGGCAGAGGAGGGCAGTTTTAATCAGAAGAAAGTCTTCAGAAAACCTGCTGCTTTTTGTTGAATAAGACCAAGCATCAGGGGCACTGCATATATGCTATTTTATCACAAACCACAATTTTTAATAAATGTCCTCAGACTTTTCCTTTTTCAAAAATAGAAGAAAAAATAGATGACACTAAAAAATAATAATACATCAACAAAGAGGTATAGCTGAGATCTTAGGGACATATGAAAGTAAAAAAAAAAATTAAAGGCCCACGTTTTGGTTACCATAGGAACGGCAACACGGTTGGATTTCACTTTTATGTGAAGGGAAGTTAGCTAGCCAGGGAGGCCTGCTGGTGCAGTGGTTTGGGAGTCGGCTGTGAACCCAACGGCAGCAGTTCCACCCACAGCCAGTTCAGGGTGAAAACAGCTCAACGTCTACAGGAAACACGGGGGGAAGTTCTACTCTGCCCCACGGGCTCACTATGTGTGGGGAAACGATTGCTTTGGTCCTTGGTTTTCAGCTTAACTTGAGAATGAACGCAAAATACATTCATCGATCAAAACAACAAATAGGGAGAGAACAGAAACAGTGACTCGGAATATTCTGGCTTTTAAGTATGTCAACTATTTACCATGAGGAGGGATGAATATTATCATATCTCTATGTTCACATGTAAGGATTTTAAAATTGATCTTTATTCAATTTATAAGAGTTGTTAATTCTATAAAATGGGCAAAATAAACTCCATAAAATGTGTTGGAAGAGAAAACCCCAGGCCAATCCTTCATAATTTATAAAGGTAGGGGCACAGTTCTGCATGTAATTACTAGAGATCATTTGCAGAATGAATGGTTTATGAAAATACAATCTGATTACATTCACTGTCAAGGGCTTTCAACTTGATATTTTAATTACTGTATATGTAATCTGAAACTGAAAATAAACATATAACACTTTAGGGGAGGGTATATATATATATATATATAACTTTTCCAAGATCTTATCTTATGTATATCTTTCTCTATTTCAAGAAATCCCCCAAAGAAAGGAAGTGTACTTACTCCTGTTATGTAACGAGGTCTATATTGAATAGTTCCAAATAATCCAAGAATGACGATAATAATATGTACAAAATTGGCCAGGATCGGTGCCCACTGATATCCAAGGAAGTCAAATATTTGTCTCTCCAGCACACAAACCTATAACAGCAAAACAGGACAGATTGATTAGCACATGTGAGAATATCACAATTGTGAGTAGGAGGGAAAAATGACTTTGTCATTATAATCAGCAAATTATCACAGTGCTGCTGTATGCGGCACTCATCGCGGGCTAACAGTAAGGACGGCATTTGTAGGCAGAGCCAAAGGGAGAGCACGAGAGTTGTGGCTTTGTAGGCAACTCGGGCCCTTCTCCAGCTGATTTTGTGGGGGCATCATGCAGTATTCACAAGCTGTGGTCTGTGCAGTCACAGGATAAATTACTTTGTCACATGCTCTGTCAAACACTTCAGACGTCTACCAGCAAGTCAGGAAAGTCCACATGAAGGGCTTGTTGTTCGAGCTGCTCAAATGTCATTGTCTAAGTTGGGAACAGAACAAAGGGGATGACGTAGAGAAAAAAAACCTTCAACCAGGCAGACCACCCAGGCTGCAGGTGCAGATCTGCCACTGAGCAGCTGCAGTGCCTGACACAAGGCAGACCACCCAGGCTGCGGGTGCAGATCTGCCACTGAGCAGCTGCAGTGCCT